AGGGGCTTGTACCTTATCTTCTGTTCCACAGGAAGAAGATACCCTTAGATGCAGAGTTAATAATATCCGACAAGATCAGAGGCATTGACCACTGATACATACAAGAAGTTGCATATTAAAGCACTTCTGCCTTTGCTTTTCTGCCTTCAGCTTCCAGCATGTAAAGCTAGATCAACAGAATGAATCAGGAAATGTTATATGAACTTCACAGCAAACAAGCACATTCAGTCAGATTTTGGAGGCCCACAGAAGACCCACAGAGCTTCTGTTTTGAACAGAATACAAATCTGGTGGAGAGTACCCATCTGCTGTAAACAGCACATCTCCTGACATACTACTCCCTTCTCTCCCTGAAATAGGAGTCAACTTTGCAGGATACTGGCAAACCAAACATAGCCTCTATAAAACACTTCCTGCCAACACCTTAAAGAAACCCTAAAACACGACACTTGACTGCTAACATACCAGGTCTATGAAACAGGGATAAGGCACCTAACGCACTTGTGGTACTGCTCTTTTTGAGAAAAACCTATCCTGCTACTCAACTAGCCCAGAACAGCAGAAGTGTTCTAACACAGCCCCCTTGCACATGCTCTTTTATATTAACTTCCAAATAAAGCCCCACTTGAGCCCCAATATCCCCATTAGGCATCATTTATTAGATCTGTGCAACAAGACTAGCTGTCATTGCAGCTTCCCCCTCATCTGCTGAATGACAACAGAAACAGGACACAGGGAGGAAAAGGCTGGTATGCAAACAAAACGTGAAGAATGTCACTGCTGAGGCAGTTAAGTGTTGCCCTGTATCTCAATTACCAACTTCCTGTCACCCTTGACAAAGACAAGCCACATCTGTTCTTTTCACAGGAAGCCACCAACTTACACATTCCTCCAGGTCTAAGCCGGTACCTTGAGATCTGATGAACACAGGTTTTAAGCTGTCGTAGTTGCTAATTACAAGGTTAAATGCCGCTGACCTCATATGAACATTGAGGATAATGTTTTGGTCTGGGTGTTTAAGTTTTTTGTTTGTAAATTAAAACCTGCAGCAGATAACTGAAAAATATATCGGGAATTTGTTACTGACTTCAATACCAAAACAAAAAAAAAAGAAAAAAACCAACCCCCCCCCCCAAAAAAAACGAAACACCACATTCGGTCTACTTAAATAGCAACATCCACAGGAAAAAAAAACAAACCAACCTGATGCAGCATGACCTAGATAAGTGAAGAGTGAGGTAGATGAAACATTTGTTTAGCTGTCATGCAAGGGGTTGTGACCTACAGCACAAAGTCCAGCTGTAAACAGTTGCTACCGGAGTAACCCAGACACTGATACCTTCCACAGGTGCTGTTCAACAGTACTTGTTCTATCATAAGAGGGTCTACTAAATGTTCCCGTCCTTCAACCACCTCCAGCTGTGTGATGGACTCCCTCCACTCTTGCTTGTACTGGGGAGGGAGCCCAGAACCAGACACAGTAATCCAGATGCAGCCTCAGCAGTGTTGTGCAGAAGAAAACGAAGACCTCCCTCAACCTGCTGGCAACGCTTTCCCTAGTGTAGCCCAGGATACCATTAGCTTGACATAAAGGTACACTGCTGACGCATGGTCAGTTTCTTGTCTGTCAGAGCCCCAGGGCCCTTCTCACCAAAGCTGCTTTACAATTGATCAGTCCCACTATGGACCAGCACTTGGGGTTATTGTTCCCCAGATGCAGGACTATTCTCAGAGGCATCCAGTGACAGGACAGGTAGTAAAGGGTACAAACTGAAAGAAAAGAAATTCATTTTAAACATAAAATAACTGTAAATAAAATTACTTTAACTGTAAGAGTGGTCAAATACTGATACTGATTGTCCAGAGAGACTGTGGAGCCTCCAGCCTTTGGAGATGAGTCTGATAGTCCTGTGCAACCTGCCTGTAGCTGACCCAAATTTGAGCAGCACCATTTGCCCTTCCAACCTCAACTATTGTACAATTCTAAGGTTCAGTGGATGTACAGGCAAGGCAAGAACATGATCTTAATTACATTCCATCATAGTAAATAACATTGAATGAATTAGCCAAAATTAAGACTGCCTTTATGCACAATCTTTTAGTATTTGTCAAAGCTCCCAAATTATAACTCCTTATTCAGTTTTGTCCACTTGTTAGGCACTGTCGTGGTTTAAACCCAGTCAGGTAACTCGTTCGCTCACTTCCCCCCCCTTTTCTTGCCCTCCCCCTGCTCTTCAAAAAGAATGCAACTCCCACAGATAAGAACAGTTTAGTAACTAAAGTATAACACAAATCACTACTGCTACCACCAATGATAATAATGATAAAGGAAATAACAAGGGAAGAGAATACATCATCTCACCACCAGCCAACCGATAACTCGCCCCCCCAGCCCGACCAAGCTCCGACTGAAACCTCCTCCAACCCTGCAGTCTCCCAGCCCTTCCGGCTAACTCCCAGTTACATCCTGGGCATGACGTGCTGTGGTATGGAATACCTCTTTGGTCAGTTTGGGTCAGGTGTCCTGTCTCTGCTTCCTCCCGGCTTCCCCTCCTCCCTGGCAGAGCATGAGGCTCACAAAGTCCTTGGCCAAACCAAAACATCGCTTGTTATCAGCTCTGTTCCCGAGCTGAAAGTCAAGACACTGCACTGCACCAACTACCAAGAAGGGGAAAAATGACTGCTACTGCTGAACCCAGGACATTATCCACCCCTTATTCCATACCATTCACGTCATGCTCAGATCCCCCATTTTCAATATACTCTTATCTTAATGCATGGACCAGTCCCTATAAAGCTGCTGAGTCCATCTGGTCCATGATGTCAGGCTCCATCTCTTGTAACAGTCTTCCAGAACAGGAGAGACTGTGTGCAGTGTTCACACTCGTGAATAACCTGGGCAATAGTGTCCATTGCTAGGTCCACCCCTCGATCATGAGTCCATCTCAGTGTTGCATCTCTGCTCTGATGGCCTGAAGTGCCATGGGCCCACCAGGCTTAAAATAATTCACTGTCCCCTTAAGCAGTTTCTGCAATTACAGCTGCCTTCCATTCCGACGCTTCCAAAGCACTGGAGGGGCCCAGTGGACTAGATACTTGCCCATACTGTCCCACACACCCTGCCACTCATGACTGTCCAGCCTTGGGGAAAACCTCTTGGTCCCCCTATATTGTCGTCTAACCCCAGACAAGACCCAAACCTGACTCTGCTTAACTTTTGAGATCAGACAAAATGGTTGTGGGTAGCACACAGTCTGTGTGTGTGCCAACATGCTGGTCCCCATCACAATCAGCAGGCAGGTCCCAAGAACACCCAAAGGCCATTCGAAACCTTCAGAACTCTCAGTTGATGCCGCTGTACTTGTCACTGGGGCTGGTGTAGCTGCTGTACTTGTCACTGGGGCTGGTGTAGCTGCTGTGCTTGCCAGCTCTCCCACCGCCAGCTTCTCTTTTCCTGAGTCCAGCTCTTCCTCCTCTGCCTTGCTGGGAAATGCTGCGTGGTCTCCTGCATCCTCCTGGGGCTCGGCGGGCGGCTTCCAGGAAATGCTCTCGGCCGTCGCGGGGCTGGGCTCCTCCGCGGGGCTCGGCTCCTTCGCCGCCTTTTCCCGCTGCTCGGCAGCCCCTTCCTTCCGCTCCTCGACCGCCCCGACCTCCTCCACCGGCAGCCGTCCCCTCGCGGCCTCCGGCCCCGCTCCCGCCGCCGCTTGGTCCCCGGGGCCGCTCTCCCGGGCCGGTTCGGCTGCCGCCGGCTCCTGGGGCCGCTCCCCCTCGGCTCCCCGCAGCCTCACGAAGATGGAGAGTAGGGCGAGGGCCAGGACGGTGAAGAGCAGCCGGACGGCCAACAAGTCCACGGCCACGTCCGTCCCGCCCTGCTGCTGGAGCCCGCCCGTATTACAAGCCATTGCCATAAAGCACAGTGAGACAAGAACCTTAGCCCAGGCCCCATACTTGATAAACACTAACACAGCAAATACCGGCTCTACTTAAGTTACAACATTCTGAAGCTGTGAGATCAAGCAAAACAACTCTGAGAGCCAATAAATCAGCATTGTGACGAGTGACTATTAATCCAGTCAGATCTGTCGTTATTCAATGCCCCACGTTGGGCGCCAAAAAGAACTGTCGTGGTTTAAACCCAGTCAGGTAACTCGTTCACTCACTTCCCCCCCTTTCTTGCCCTCCCCCTGCTCCCGGAGGGTCGAAAAGAATGCAACTCCCACGGGTTGAGATAAGAACAGTTTAGTAACTAAGGTATAACACAAATCACTACTGCTACCACCAATGATAATAATGATAAAGGAAATAACAAGGGAAGAGAATACATCATTCACCACCAGCCAACCGATTCGCCCCCCCAGCCTGACCAAGCTCTGACGATACCTCCTCCAACCCTGCAAGCCCTTCCGGCTAACTCCCAGTTACATCCTGGGCATGACGTGCACTTCTTTGGTCAGTTTTCAGGTGTCCTGTCTCTGCTTCCTCCCGGCTTCCCCTCCTCCCTGGCAGAGCATGAGGCTCACAAAGTCCTTGGCCAAACCAAAACATCGCTTGTTATCAGCTCTGTTCCCGAGCTGAAAGTCAAAACACTGCACTGCACCAACTACCAAGAAGGGGAAAAATGACTGCTACTGCTGAACCCAGGACAGGCACAAAAAGTGACACAGATTCATTTTTCTTCTCAAAATATATAAAATTATAACCTTCAAGTGCTGAGAAGATGTAGGTTTCACCAATACACTCTTAGAATTACTAGTGTTTACTGCTGCTGTGTAAACAATGTTGTGGCAATAGTTATATTTTTCACCTCCATTACCTAACAAAGTTGACAAAAAAAAATTAACATTTGCAGTTAAGCTTTCATTTACAATCCTCATACCAACTAATCAAGGAAAATGCCATTTAAATTAAATGAAAAACACAGCACTGAAACTCAGTATCCAATCCAATTATAAATATTTTAAAGCAGTAGAATGAAATACCACCACATAGTTTTAACCTACCTTTCTGCAATAATTTGATCTCTCCATTTTCTTTCTTGATTTCATTCATTATTTTGTGCTTCTTCTTCTCTTTTTGCTTCTTTTCCCTTTCTTTAATTTTGTCTTTGATTTGAGCTGAAATACAAATAATTTACAATTAAATAGGAACAGAAAATTAATGGTCATATGCACGTTCCATATTACTCTTATGCAAGCTCTATTAAAAGGACAAAAGGTGAGTTAAATCCCAGTATTTATAACATGAAAAGCTAATATTTATCTGTTGCATAATCCAACATAAGATTTTTTTAACTCAGGCAAGGTCTGTTACTATTATGCATGCAACAACTCAGCATATTAACTGTATACAGTTAATTTCTGCAGCTAATTTTTGCTTACTCCTACTACCCTCAGCTCTTCTTCTGCATCTGTAGTTAGCTTATTTTATTGAGATTCAAATTAAACGCATTAGATAAGAAATGGGGAAAAGAGTATGGTTTGTATTTTCCTGGGTGCACTTATACGCTATCATACACTGTCACAACCTCAAATAACTATCTAAATAACTAACCAAATAACTATATAAAAAGCTTAAGGCTTTTGCAAGTAGCTTGGAATGAAGACTTCGTCTGTCTGCTGCAAAATCTTTTACATTATGATCACAGGCTACACTAATGCATTCATAGCAGCAAGATGTAATTAATGCACACATGAAGTGCGTTGTATTTGCACAGCAGATACAATGCACTGGTGCTTCCCTTGCTTGCCTACAATCAACAACAGTCTACCAGAGCAGCCTCGTTATTTATTTACTTTCTTGCCAAGTCACTCCAGGTTTTTCAATTGTTGTCACACAAAAGGAGAGCCTTTAGGCAGACTTTCCACATGAATACTAGACCCAGAGGAATTCATAATTTCGAAGAGTAATTTTCTCAAGGCCAGTTTAATTCACTTTTGAGGACAGGCATTTAGGGAAGACAGATTTTTATTAGGCTTAGATGCACTGCAGCCAGCAGTTCATGCCCAGCTTCTTGGGCTGAAGCCAAGTACCTGCTCCAAGAGTTTACTGGGCTTTTTAACTTTGCTGAGAAAGAGGAACTGTGATTTCAAGCTTCTACAAAATGTTATGCTTCAGAATGCTTTCTCAGTAATACAGCTGAGAGACTATCCTGATGTTTTATTTATGGTACTTGCATTATAAACCCCATGTGGAAGCAGAGAAATCCAATTTCATTTTCTCAAGAATACACATAAAATAGAAGAAGTGGGTATATTCACTACTTAAAAAAAAAAATCAGAAATATTCCTCAGAACCAAACTAAAGCAAGCTTTCAACTCTAGAAGACACCACCATGTTCCATAACCAAGCTATTTATGAAGCATGTTAATAGTTAAACAAAAGGTTCAAAGGGTTGACAGCAACCCACATAAATGAATGCACAACAATGACTCCACAATATTTGTATCTTTCATTTTAGGAGTCCTCTAGTAAGGCAAGAGGACATGAACCCTAGCAGTTGTCGGTATGATCAGCATATTTTGGGAAGAGCCTAAGAAAGAAAATAAAAGCCAAGAGATGCAATTAAGAAGGTAATTAAGGTATGTTTGTTGTCTATCCACAAATCAGGATAAACAGTGGGGAGAGAACAGAAACCATGCTGGCACAAAAATAAAAAGGAATGAGGTAGCTGTGCTTAAAACTTTCTGGAAGTCTCAGTTCTAAGCAACTGGAACAGTCGTGTCCAAGAACAGCCTTCTAACAGTTCAATGACAAGGGATGACAAAGCAGATTCATTTTACAGCAGGCCATGGAATCCAAACAAGTTTTCCTAAGCAAAACAAACACATGCTGTCTAGGAATAAGTTAAGCAGGCGTGAATCTTCCTCTCTAACCTGCTTCTCCCCCAAAAGAAATCCCCAAATTGTAAATTCCTTGCAACTTAAGAATATGAAGTAGGAAATAAATTATCTAATAGGAGCTTAAGTAACACTCTGAAAGCAGACACTCACTCAGCAAGGGGGCAGTAACATCAGGCTTGATTTGTAACCCCCACTGAACGTTTAACTCTGCCAGGATTATAATTATCATGGAAAGACCTAGACCTTATCTCAACATTTGCATACTGTTAAGAGGCACACTTGACTCCTGCTATCACTTACAAATCAAATAAAGATTGAAGAGCATACACAAATGCTAAGCCTTGTTGAAAGAGGAAGAAAGACAGACTGAAAGAATCCCTTATTGCAGGCTCCTGAATAGCCTCGCAGGCCAATGAATCTTCCAGGTTTGTCAGAAGCAACACATAAGGAGGGACAGAGAACAAGGTGAAACCTTTTAAAAGAGTTTCTAGTTTATTTTCGCTTCTAAAAAGCAATTAGCAGAGTCAACGGTGAAATGCTCCGGATGAAAGAAAGTATGGAAATGACCCATAACTTTCTCAAGCAATAGCCACAAGCAAATCATACCTGAAGCGATTGCAAATACCATGTAAATGAAGCTGAGGAAGATTTGAAATAAACTTAACTATTTCCCTTTTAGAAAATCACAGTACCGTAACAAAACCAGAGTACAGCCTGAGGCAAGTAAAGAACCTGAGGGAAGCTGAGAATCCCAACTTAATTGAACAAGTTCTCAGGTTTCCTCCCTCAAAGCCCACAGAATAGATACGCAATAGTTGGTAGAGTCCTCCTAAAAAAAAAAAAAAAAAAAACAAGCAAACTAAATAAATACCAGAATAGGAAAAACCCCAATATAATAATCTATGTCAATATGAGAGTCATTACATCGATTAACACTTGGTCTTAGGTCTCAGTTCAATTGTCTTCAGCTTCTGAGTAAAAAAGTAAGTACTTTCTAGCCTGGCTGGCAGAACTGAAACACAATTCTCAAACCAAATTCTGCAGATTATTCTCCTCTGCAACAGATACTGCATTTCACAGCTCTCAATGGGATGCAGAGAGAAAAAAAAAAAAAAAAAAAAAAAAAAAAATCAACCAAATTATTTTAAGATTCAGTTTACCACAAAAATCTATTGCAACTTAACTATGCTGGCTCTGCAAAGTCAGTACACTTAGAAGCATCCAATAGCCGTCATAGTTAATAAATGTGATTAAAATATGCCCATGGCACAGACATCCAACAAGGAAGGGCAAGTACAATTCTGCAAGTACAGTCTCCCCACTAACTGCTGCCACCATATCTCGCTGCCCAACAAACCTGATACAGTTCAACACAGGCTAGAGCATTTTGGGACTTCCCAAAATGCCACCAACCAGTATCTCTCCAAGTGTCTTCAATAATATAAGGTATCAATTCCCTCCAGCTATACATAATTACAGTCCAAATCTCATTTTCTCAACCAAGAAACAAAAAAATTCTTCACAAAAAACCTTGTTTTAAAACAAATTCCTCCAACATTAAGTAATTTACATGCTGCAGAATAAATAACCAATAAGTGAGGCTGGCAAGGGAAAACTTGTTCTGTTGAACAAGTTAAGACTACCTAGAATGCTCTTGCACAGCTTTTTTAAGGTCTACCAGTAGCAGGTACTGCTGATCCTAAACCTTAGGTCTTCCTTACATACCCACAGAATATTTCAAAATTAGCTTTCACCAATGCTATTTCTAGCAAATTCAAAAGAAAGTCTTGAGCTGCTGAGGGAACAGGATGAGATGAGTCCCCAGGAAATAAGGCAACTCAAACAGTCAGTGATCTGGACAAGGGAATTTCAAGTACCAACAGCTATTACCTCTGTATCTCATAGCATTGCAATTGCCACTGGAACAGCTTCAACTTTTGCAGAGATAAAAAAAAAAAAAATGAAAGTTCAGAAAAGCAATTAATGAATTTAAGTTTCATATGCTGATGGGAAGCTCATTTGAGTTCAAAGGTAAAGGGGCAGTTTGACTCAAACAGGGAAGAAAGGTTTTGTAAGAGGTCTTCATTCTTAAAAGAACATATACAGATGTACCAGTTACTAGAAGCTCATGTCCAACATCCCTAGTCCATAAATTATTACATTACAGGGGTTTTGGTAAACAAAAGCACAAGTCAGTCACAGAAGCATCTTAAATAGTTGTGGTCCATTACTGGAACTTTCTCCACAAGGGTGTAGGCATTTTGTTTTGTGTTTGTTTGGTGGTGGCTTTTGGTTGGGTTAGGTCAGTTGGGGGGGGATGGTGTTAAAGTCCTAGTCTAAATAAGATGTTAATTAAAAAAATTAGGCACAGCCCATGTTGCGGGAAATCACAAAAAGATTTATCATAATCCTGTCAAAATTAATCAATAATATACAATATTATGACATAAAGCCACCTCAGCATATTTGCATTTCAATAGCCATTTTTCCATTTTAGTAGATACTAAAAAATAGCATTCCAGCAATAAAACTTTAAGTTTTAAGCTGTTTGCTCTCTCCCTTTGAAGAAAGGTAAGGGAGAACCTGTGGTCTGGCAAGGGATAATCAAAAGATTAGTCAGATACTGAACATGACAATTTGTCTAACATTTCATGTCTGCTGTTTTTTAACTATTGGGCCAAAACAGACAATTTCCTGTTATATCTGTTCTACTTTGAAACGGGAGAGAATACCAAGTTCTAACGGTTGGTATCATGGTTCTTCTGACAAGAGAAAGTCAATCATGTGACATGAATCACATCTGAAGTAACTGAAAAGCATACTTAATAGCCATATAAGACACCAGCAAAAAAATGTAACAAAATAAAGGCTCTCTGGGAAAATATCAGTTCCTCTACTACAGATTTAAATCAATGCCTTCTCTTATACCAGCATGTAACTCATACCAAAATCCTTACACCTAGAGTCACCCAAAACCCTAAGCAGGGCACTACTGCCTCTACTGGGTCAGCACACACCTGGATGGCTGATACCTGTTTCTACTCACTATATGGTACTACGACAACTGACAGCTATTTCTCCATAGCCCACTGTTCACTACTCCTGCAACAGCTTCCCTGTGATACTCCACACCCAAAGATGACAGCAGTCCTGAAAACATCCTCTTATTGTTCATCTGATGAATTTTAGGAACTAGCTCCAAATAGCAACTGATTCAGATGTCTCCCCATTTTCCATTCTATTGTTTTGGGTTTGGTTTCTTGGGGGGTTGGGGT